TGTCTAGGAGTCCTTCCGAGTAGGCACACACTAGAATGTGATACCAAAATTCGAATATTCCTTTCAATTTTCTCATCTAGAAATAAAATTTATAACTCTGCCCTTCAAAAATGAAGTAACTCTATCTCACAGTGCTGCTCCAATATTAAAATCATGTACATAAAGCACTTAACACTTCAAATGCCCAGCTTGGACCAGGAGTGCAATAAACAGTAGCTATTATTACTCTTACGATAAAACAGGAACAACCATTTAATAGCAGAGCGTATTTTAATTATACACGATATGGAATAATCAAATCTCATTCGTTCACAGCCCCAGACCCCACAGCACAGATCGAGTTGTTCAGCTGGAATTACAACAACTCAAAGCTCAGAAATTACTTGTTTCCATTAGAGATCTGACAAGTCATTTCTTCAATTGGTCACTGGTGGCTTGCAGATAACTATTAGCCATAATGAGTGTTCTAAATTAAATCCAGAGACAGCCCCACTCGGCTCCGTGGAGACAGCTGGGGAGCCAGCGAGGGGACTGCGGCACGTCCTTCTCTCGCGTCCTCCATCCTCCCAGAGAACTACCTTCCGTGTCCTGCACGGTGCAGATTTCATTTGGTTACAAATGAAGGAGGGTCTAACACTTCTCATGATAAATGAGAACACTGCACAGGTTGCTTGTTAAGGAGAACTGAAATTGGGAAAATAACACTGTTTTCCAGGTACTTGACACCACATGCCCTCCACTGAACAAATGAGACAAACCGTGCTGGGAGACTCTTAGCATGGAAAACACATCTCTCTGTGAATACGCCATTCCAAGACAAATATGCACAGTACTGGGCACAGGCAACTCACACTTTCACTCAACACCAATAGAGATTAAGCCTGCACTACATAAGGGGGAGGGGGCACAACGCAGGGCAAAGAACAGTGACTCTGGAATCAATAAAAACCTGGACTCCAATCCCATCTCGGCCCCTCCTTACTACATATCCAGACAGGAGCCCCGTCTAGCCTCAACACTCCTACCTATAGAATGGGGACAGTGCAGAACCACTCGAGAGCTGTAGCAAGGAATACACAGGGATGATCAAAAACGCGCCTTCCATTATTATAAGGCCTTCACAAGCGTTAGCTGCCCTCATCTGCACGTGAACCTAACCTTCCCGACAGCAGAAATACACCAAACACCCCACAGCTGAGTGTTGTAGTGCTGGCAGGACTCACCACTGGCCCCTGAGCGAATGGGCTGCTCACTGTGGGCATGTGTAACCGTGTCACAGCGTGTGCCCACACACAGGGCACTCCCCCTGCTGCTGGCATCATTCAACTGCAACACTTTTCAAGCAGCCCAGCTCTCTCTCCAGGGCCTGGCTGGACAGTCACCGAGTACTTCCACTTACGTTTTCAAAGTCCTTCATGTTCCGCGCTCTGGTGGGAGACACTTTCTCCTCAGGCATGTTCGGGAGCACTGCAGAAAGGCCAAAAAGACACAGGAAAACATCACGGCGTGCAAACCCCAATACACCCCATCGAGACAAGGCCCAGAGAGCGAAAGCCCTGAGCAGCTTCCCCAGACAGCCTGCTGACACTTTCTGCTGGCTGACTTAGGGCTGGCTCTGAGACCAGGAAAAGCACTAAAGCATCGTGGTCCAAACACACACAACACGCTGTGTGTCTAGCATGATCGCAGAAAGCACATCGGGCGGTTGGCAGCAGACCGTGCTCATGTGGGCCACCTCCATTTATAAAGTCCTTGTGCTAAGGAGGTATCTCCTTCCTAGGTCACTAATGAAAACAAAGCTTGCCTAATCCACAGCAGACCCTGGGCAAGCTTATCCTTAGAATACCAGACGATAATTATCTGAGGTTTCACAGGCCATACAAGGGTCTAAAATCTGTCACAGAATCTCAACTCCCCTGTTATAGCAAAAAAACAGCTCTGGACAATCCAGACACCAAGTAGCTGTGTGCCAGTAAAAGCTCACCCCCAAAAGTAGGTCTAAGCGGGCAGGAAACTACTGGCTCCTGTTTCTGAGACAGAGCCTCCAGTACGAAAATCTCTCTCCATGGTCCAAGACAGTGGTTCAATAGCTAAATCCTCACCTTGCACGTGCCAGGATCACCTGTGGGCGCTGGTTCGTGTCCCTGCTGCTCCACTTCCCTTCCAGCTCCCTGTTTGTGGCCTAAGAAAGTAGTAGAGGATGGCCCAAAGCCTTGGGACCCTGCACCCACTTGGGAGACCCAGAAGAAGCACCTGGCTTCGGATCAGCTCAGCTCCAGTCACTGTTGCCTTTTGGGGAGTGAGCCAGCAGACATAAGATCTTTCTTCTCTATATAAAGTTGCCTTTCCAATAAAAATAAATAAATCTTTTAAAAAGAAAAAAAAATCTCTCTCCACAGTCTCCTTCATTCAACAAACACTTAACCGCACACCCTCACTGCACTGAACACCAGGCTGTTTGGAGAGAAATCATTGGGAAGAAGATGGTGATCTGCACCCAAGAGCTTCCCAGGTCCCCTGGGTGAAGGCGCTGAGTGCATCGGTGGACAAGGGAGCTATTCACAGGCCAGGAACACCTGGGTTTGTGTCTAACCTTGGAACACCAAGTGGCAGATCAGAACCCCTGGTGCTATCTCTCCTTTGAGTCTCCCTCTGGTTAAAAATAACAGAAGAGAGCATCCCTGGCCTCAATACTATCTTTTCTTCTTGCTTTCCTTGAGTTGTAAATAACGGACCAAAGCATACCAAGACTCTGTGTTAATGTCTTCTCCTTTTTTCAGTTTTGCTAACATAAGAAAAATTATTCTAAGAATTGCTAGCTTCACATAAGGATTAATGAAAGCTTCTGTGTGACACCTAGGTTCTTTGGGGGTATAAAAGTCTTTGTATTCTCAAAGTGCATCATCCAGAAGTGCAGGTGATGGCCACAGTGCAGATTAATACAATCATTTCCCCATTAAGCATCATCTTGTGTGTTCAATTAATCCTGACACCTGGGTGAGACAGCACACTCGGTCACCGTGCCATGTGGAGACTGGGCACTTGGTAGGTACGGAGTGAACAAACGAATTCAATTCATTCTTCTATGCAAAGCACTAGAAGCCCCCTTTCTGCCTGGCACCTTTCTACACAGGACCACATCAAGAGATAAACAAATGAAGCCTCCATTCCAAAGGGAGAACACAGCCGGCCAGCAGATCAGTACCTGCCACCTTAACAGGAGGTAAGTGCTATGGATCAGAACAGGGCACTGCAGGAGTGTGTGAAGGATGGCAAGACGAGCAGGCCAGGTCTCACTGAGAAGGTGCCATCTGGGAGACTGTGGCCTGGGGGAAGCAGTCTGCACAGGAGGTCGGAGGAACGGCCCCTCAGCTCAGTGAGCAGCAAGGGAGTTGTGATGTCCTGGGGGCCAGACTATGCATAGTCCTGCAGGTTCTGGAAGGGCCTGAGGAAGCCGCTGGCAGTATCAGTGTCCCACCGAGCTCTGCACAGGCTCCCTGCTGAGAATACACAGAAGCGGCTTTGAAGAGAAACAAGGCCAGCAGCTAGGAGAAAACTGCAGAATCCAGGCCAGGGAGTGTGCAGGTTGGGCCAGGGGGGTAGGAACGCAAAGCATCTGACTCTGGAAATCTGAAAAGGAGCCAGCAGGAATAAATGAAAAGAGGCAAAATATAGCAAGTTCAGAAAAGGAAGCTCACCTAGGCTGGCCTGGGGTGAACCAGAAAGCTGGTGAGCTGTGAGCTGGTTGGCTAGAGACAGCAGGCAGGCAGCAGGCAGAGGAGAGACACAGAGGGGAAGAAAAACAGCAGGCAGAGGAGAGACACAGAGGGAAAGAAAAACAGCCCAGGCAGAGGCAGAGTGGCAGCGGACACGTGTTCAGCAGGAAAGAGACTCGGGGGTGCACAGGGAGGACTGGGAGGAGCCCCCGCACACACTCGTGGCACAGGGACTTCCGTACACTGGCCAGGCTCAGCCACCAGCATCTGGGATGCTCATCCCCACCCTGCTGCTACCCGGGTCAAGAGCAGTTTCTGGAGAGACATGTGGTGGACCCCTATCCTTCACACCAGGGATCTTCTGTACCCATCCTCTCACAGTAGCTTATAAGTCCTGGTTCAAGGTTCAAGTCTAGGGCTTAGCCCAGAGTCTGGTGTGGAACAGGGGCATACTACCACACTACCACATCACTGCTGCTAATTCCCTGCAGGGCAGGAATGGCAAAAACCAGGCTTGTTGGATGGCATGCTTAAAGTTCAACGGATTCCAAAGGAGAGGAACCTCTTAAGATGGCAGCCTCTATGTTACGGTATTCTCCAGAAACAACCCTACTCTTAACAACTTCTTCCAGGTGGGCATCTGGCACGGTGATGAACGCACTGCCTGTGACACCTGCATCCACGCTAGAGTGCCTGGGCTACAGTACCAGCTCCACTTCCACTTGAAGCTTCTTGTTAACGCACACCTGGGAGGCAGGCTGCCTTAGGTACCTGGGTATCTGCCACCCCTCAATTGAGTTTTCTGCTCCTGGCTTCAGCCTGGGCCTGCCCAAGTCAATGAAGACATCCGAGGAGTCAAACAGCCAATAGAAACGTATCCGCACTCTCTCTCTCTCTCTCTCTCGTTCTCTCTCTCCTGTGTGTGCATGCACTATCGTTTTCTCTTCCTTTCACAAAAATAAAATTTGTCAAAAAATAAAAACTTCATTTTGCACGTTAAATCATCATTTTAGAGAAAAGAGAAAAGCAGGTCAGAAAAATCACAGATGCTTCAGCCAGGCCCGCTGTTAGCATACTCCTACACACATTTAGGATGGCATTTTCTTTCTTCAGAAAACAAACTTACAAAGAATGTTTAGCAAGACCCAAACTGCAGTTTCGTCATTAACCCCGCTCCAACACCATACACACCCTTACTGACTCAGCACCATCGTCTGTGGTCAAGCCAGCTGTTTTGTCCTCAAAGGGCAAGCCTGGGTAGGAATGCTGGGGCTGAGTTAACACACGGAATCCGGGAAGCCACCAGGAAGGCCTGGCACACTGCAGGCCATCCAGCAGCCCCCTGGGCCGCAGCCACTCTGCAGTGCAGCCCACCAGAAGCCATGTGTCATACTGATCAGCAGCTCAATCTCGAGCCGCCATGTGTCACTTTGTTCAGCAAGAACAGCCTGAATCCCCACAGGCGTGGTGGCAAGAAGACACCCCCCGGGGGAGGCCAAGACATCAAGTTTACTAGTCCTGTGTTTATGAAAAGAGGTAGAGAGCAAGTCAACAGAGACCTTCCTGAAACACTGACCCCCAAGTGTGTGCCAGGCCAGGGTGAGCTCTGGGCGCAACAGAGCCCAACCCCAAGCCTCAAGGTCTTCGGGATCCTGTCTACTCTTGTACCCCTACCCCCTCTTTTTTTTCTTTGTGGAAAGTAGAGTGACAGAGAGAGATCTTCTATCCACTGGTTCACTTGCCCAATAGCCCAGAACCCCACACAAGTCTTCCGGCTGGTTCCAGGAACCCAAGCACTTGCTGCCTTTCAGTTACTCAAGTGGGAAGCCCCTTAGGAAACGGAGGCAGGAATCAATTCCATACACTCTAATGTGGGATACCAGTGACTCAAGCAGTAACTTAACCCACTGCCCCACAATGCCTGCCTTACTCCCGTAGCCTTGCGCAGGAGGCTCCGGCTGCATGTACTTACCGCCATTTCCCAAGCTGGTCTCCAGGTTATCTGGTAAAGTGGGAAGAAGGCCACTAGGAGAGAACACACAGGGGAAGAGATGAGCCAGCATTTGAACACCAGAGCCTGGCAGACTGATGGCCAGCAGGCCACGGCCAAGGGGGACACAGAGCTGAGACACAAAGCAGAGGGCAAGAGCCCATGCTTTGGCGCTGCTCTGGCTTTAGAATGAGGTCCAGCTGAATAACCTTCAGCAAGGTCACTCCTTCACTTTGTTACCAAATGTCCCGCATGTCAAGTAGTCGCTAGGGGCAGAGGCACCATGCCAAGTACAAGCTACTTAGATTTCAAAGCCCCACTTTCTTAGTGTGTTACACGCAGACACCACATTTTCCTATAAAAACCAGATTAACATACAGAAACCTTGAGCATATAGTAAGTGTTCAAGAAATGGCACCGATTTTTTTTTTTTTTATCATTACTGATATCACCAACATGCCTATCCCAAACCAAAGCCAAGCTTCTGGGAATCAGGCATCAATTTGTCTAAGATGTCACACAAAAATACAGAATGTACCAATCCAAAGAAGTTACCCTGGATCAGTTATATGCATTGGTTTAGCAAGAATCTGGAGACTTTGAGTGAAATCTATACAACATGACAAAAGACATAGTGTGACATACACAACCCAACCCTGCCCTGGTGCCTTTCCAGGCCTCACTCCCTTCAGCTGCAGAAACAGCAGCTACTTCATACAGCAACTGACAAACAAAGCACCAGGTACCCAGCAAGATGCCTGGCATATGGCGAGTACTCCACAAATGGGAGCAACAGGTTCCCGTCATCTTAAAACACAGTGTTTCATAATTGATCAAGCATTGGCCATCACTACCTCAACCCGATTCCCTGAGGGCCATGCACTTTTCAAATGAAAGCCCCGGGGTGCAGACAACGTCAGGGACGTCACCAGAAGCACCTGGCACTGACATGGAGGGCTGGGTACAGAATCCAGACCTTTGGCGTCTGCCCTACATGCCACCTCCCTGCCCCACACTGCACACCAGGGACAGGTAAAGGCTCAGTTGGTCTGCCTCCATTTCCAAAGGCATTCTGCTCCCAGGACAGGTTTGCTCATCTTGAAACTTCAGAGTTAGAACAATGCTTCAAGATGAGAACCAAGCAAAAACTTGGAGATATCCATAAAATTCCAACATCAGAAAAATGATTCTATAAAACATGACCTTTATAAACATAACTAAAAACATTTAAATAGAATACATCATCAGGACAGCGAGTGACCCTCCAGCTAAGACCCCAGCTGGGGCACATGCACCCCACGTTCAGGTACCTGGGTTTCAACACGACCCTACTGCTAAGTGTGGTTTCCTGCTGAGGCACACCCTGAGAGGCAGCAGGCAACGGCTAACATAACTGGGTACCAGCACCCATGTGAAAGAAAGACCTGGATGAAGTTATCAGCTTCAAATGGGTCAGCCCCAGCCTCTGTGGGCAACCAGTAAATAAGAGTTTCAGTGCCTTCATATTTTTTTTGTTTGTTTTGTTAAGATTCACTTATTTTTATTGGAAAGGCAGATGAAATTTACAGAGATCTTCCATTTGCTGGGTTCATTTCCCAAGTGGCCACAATGGCCAGAGCTGATCCTATCCGAAGCCAGGAGCCAGGAATTTCCTTCAGGTTTCCCACATGGATGCAGGGTCCCAAGGCTTTGGGTCGTCCTTGACTGCTTTCCCAAGCCACAAGCAGGGAGCAGGATGGGAAGTGGAGCTGCCAGAACACAAACCAATGCCCATATGGGATCCTAGCACTTGCAAGGCAAGAATTTAGCCATTGAGTCATTGCACTGGGCCCACAAATAAGTTTTAGAGTATATTTCGTTTTTTAAATATTACGTTCTCGGGCTGGTGCATAGCCTAGCGGCTAAAGTCCTCGTCTTGAACGAACCAGGGATCCCATATGGGCGCCAGTTCTAATCCGGCAGCCCCACTTCCCATCCAGCTCCCTGCTTGTGGCCTGGGAAAGCAATCGAGGACGGCCCAAAGCCTTGGGACCCTGCACCCATGTGGGAGACCCGGAAGAAGTTCCAGGCCTTTGACTTCGGATCGGTGCAGCTCTGGCCATTGCAGTACTTGCAGAGTGAATCATCAGATAGAAGCTCTTCCTCTCTGTCTCTCCTCCTCTCTGTGTATCTGACTTTCCAACTTAAAATAAATCTTAACAATTGAGGGGTAGAACAGTTTTAGGAAAGGTAAGCAGAGAAATCTTCAATACCTTAGTGAGGAGTAACTAATCTTTGTGTCCTACCTAGTAAGGTATATGGGAGTCCAAGCTGACTGTTTCCTGTCTGTTCTAAGCTTTCCTTATTGGTCTCTGTCTATCTGATCTAATTTTGGGGGGGATGGGGCTCCAGAGCGACCCTGATGGTCATTGCAAGAGAGGGTGGGGAGCCAAAGTTGGAACTAAGTAAGGACCAGAGAAAGCTCCTCTCCCGAGTCCTGAAGGAAGTTTACTGTTCTGTTTCTGAGGACCGCTCAGGGCTCCTGACTGTTCTGATGACATTAGACTCTGTGAGGAAGAATCTGGGCTTCTTCCATTCCATGTGGGAGATCCGATAGGGAATGGATGACCTCAGAGTTCTTGGCCTACGAGGGCACTCCAATTCCCCGTGGTCTCCTTGGCTGTTGGGATATAGTCCTTGGTGCCCATACTAATCATCCTTGGCAAGGATCCGGGAGTCTCCAGGGCATGTTTGAGTTATAAGCTTGTTTGGACTAGCCTAAAATTCGCAAAGTTCAGTAGAAATCACACTTGAATACTATAAACTGCTAAATATAAAAATGAAAATAGACACGAGACAGCTGAACAGTGCCCTATAACTATTTTAAGGTGTATAGCAGCCAGCTGTGTATAAACTAAAATTGAAATTGTCAATGAAGTAGTCACAGGATGTGGTTAAGAACTTGCACTTTCTAACATATTGGTCACTCAACACCATGTCAATTAACTTCATGATGTTGTAAATTATTGTTGAAGTTGTGTAGTGGCTTTTCATTAGAGGGGATGATATTCCACCAGCTCTACTTTCAGACCAGGGATGGTCTCCCAATGAAACTGTTGAATTTATCTGGACAATAAGATGCTGGACTTTCTACATGGTCCATGCCCACAATGAAGGAATCAGGACTGGATATGAACTGTACTACTGTAACAATATGGAGGAATTCAATATGGGGGGAGGGCTTTTTGGAGGGGTTGGGGGAATCCCAGAGCCTATGAAACTGTCATAAAATGAAATTTTTAAAAAATCTTTAAAAAGTATACATCTTTACAAAAAATAGTAATATGTTCTCAATTTTTTTAAATACATATACATACACTAAAGGCATGTCAGGTCCATTTTGGACTAGGTGAGCTATAAATATACAACAAAAGAATATAGTGAAATATTAAAAATCATAATCTGTAGGGAAATGAGAGGTGTTTTCCGCCTTTGTGATTTTCTATGATTTTCAAGGTCCTCCAACACACAGCTAAATGTTAGGACAAGGTTTAATCTCTAGGGTGAACTCCAAAATCAAAAACAAGCACAACACGACCTCTTGCAGATAGTGGCCCAGGGGACCAAGTTCAGGCACGAGTGATGGGCGAATCCTCGCCCACAGGCTGGCCTTACATTCTCAACTGGCGTTCTCTCCACCAGAGCCACTAACTTACTCACCCTGGCTAAACGGCACCTCAAGAGCTCAGGTCAAGGGCAGCACCCTTCTGAAACCCACCCTTCAGGCCAAGCTCAAGCTGTGGGTCTCGGATAACTTCAAAAGGCAAACACTGAAGTTAGAAACTGCCATACGACAGCCAAACTCTCAGTGTTGATTCTGCAGTGTAGAACTTCCTGCCCGGTTCCTGTCAAAATTTCACTTGTACTTTTATCTGACTGCTTTTAAGATGGTAGGAATGTGTGCCGTCCGTACTCTCCAGGCGGTTCCAACCACATTTCCGGTCCCACTGCTCTAGCCTATTCTGATCATCTACGCTCACCCTTGAATTAAAGTCAGGAACTTGAGGGATGGCATTGCAGTGTGGCCGGTTAAGCTACCACCTACAATGCCAGCATCCCATACAGGTGTTGGTTCAAGTGTCCACTGCTTCACTATCAATCCTGCTCTCTGCTAAAGTGGCTGGGAAAGCACCAGAAGACGGTACAAGTGCATGGAGACCCAGCAGATGCTCCTGGCATCAGGCTGGCCCAGCCCTGGCTGCTGCGGACAGAACCAGCAAATAGACGATGACTCTCTGCCTCTCCTTTTCTTTTTCTGTAACTCTGCCTTTCAAATAATAAACAATCTTTGTAAAAATCAGTAAGATCGGATCCTCATAGAGATCTACTAGAAATAAAAATGCAACCAAAAAAGAGGACTCAGCTAGGATTTTAGCATGAAGGATGCGAGGGGCTCAAAATCACCAAGGGAAAATGGCTGAGCCGGGAACAAAGCCCGGGTTCCCAGTGATCCACCCTTGTTCTTGTGTGTCGGGCTCCTACACAGAAGCAGCATATAGGAACAGGCCAGTCTTGCCAACCCCAAGGCAAAGCATGATCCTAAGGAACGCACCCCACGGCCGGCACCCACACTGCAGCCAACACCATGCTCCAGACGGGGCAGGCAGTCTTCTGGAGGAGGTGTTTGTTGGTTTTTGTTTTGTTTAATATACATAAATAAAATAATGAAACAGAGATCCAGTGGGAAAAAAAAGCAGAAACCCTAAGCTGGCCTGGTTAGAAACCCTATGCCCAGAACCTCTTGCACCCCGTTTTCACTTGAGAACCAAGTGAACCAGGGTAGAAGGTTCCAGCAGCCAGCGCAGTGCACAGCTACTGCAGGTGCCCTTGGCCGACTATGAGGGAACGTTGCAATAATCACAGAAAACAGGGATGAGGAGCAGGTGTTTGGTACAGCGGGTAAGTTCCTACTCAGGATCCCCTTATCCCAGCATCCCCTTTCAGGGTCTCTGTTCAGGCTCTGCTCCTGACTCCAGATTCCTGGGTACGCAGACCC